CGCAGTAAAGGGGGACCACAGTCAAGAGAGTCCCCTGGATGTCCCCAGCGCACAAAAAAGTCACACTGACACTGGACTGTCGTTGACGAAAAGGCGTTCTGGTGGTGCAGGCACACGCTACACGTCGCACTACTAACCATGAGGTCCAAGGTTTGAACACTCCAGCGGCTGTGGAGACCTACAGTCTCCGTAACCCAAAGGGGCAGATCTATCCTGTCCTCAGGGTCTGTGAGCCGGAATCGACTTGGTGGCAGTGAGTTTGGCTAGTCTATTAAAGGAGACCGGAGGATATGGTAGGTTATGTGTTGGGCTGCTCCCTGCAAGGTCGGTGGTTCAAACCCACAAGCTGCTCCACAGGAGACAGGTGAAGCTATCTGGCGGCATTGTGGGCTACAAATTGGGTTGCTAGCAGCAAGGTCAGCAGTTGGAGACTGCCAGCCACTCCTGGGGAGAAAGACATGGCTTTCGACTCCCACACAGAGTTTTCATCTCGCCAACTCACAGGGGCAGTTCTGTCCTGTCCTGTAGGGTCGCGCTGGATTACAAGTGACTCGCTGGCAGTGGGCTTATCTATTCACATACGGTTTAGAGCCTCAAAACCCAGTAGGCCAGTTCTACTCTGGCCTATAAGGTCACTCTAAGTCAGACTGACTCAATGGCCATGAGTTTGAGTTTTTGTCATCTAGAAATATCCACTTAAAAAATAAAACCCAACCCTACAGCCCAGAGCCATTGAGTTACTGCTTACTCGTCATGACTCGATTGGGAGTCTAGGGCTTCCAAGGCCAGAAACCTTTACAGGAGCAGCAGGTGGGTTTGAACCACCGACCTGTGGTTAGCAGTCCAACGCTTACCAGGCTGCACCACCAGGGTTCCTTAGGTGCAACAGCATTATACAGATGTTTCAAGGATGTGAGGATGACCTTCATGTGACACAGTGACAGCAAGTGAGCACTTCCTGTTGGGAAAACGGTGCTAAATAAGCGTGCTCGATGAGGGCTGCCACAGAGCTGCCTTTTGCAAAAGAAACAAAGCAGTAACTGCAAAGCAATAAAGCAAAACACAATGACATGAGGCGTGCCTGTAACTGAGCCTCTCCACAACTGTTATTGTTGCTGTGGTTCTATGCGGTCAAGTCCCCTGTTCACTTACATCGACGCCATGTGACAGAGCAGAACTGCTCCACGGGGTTTCGTAGGTTGTAATCTTTACAGGAGCAAAGCACTAGCGCTTTCTCCTATGGAGCCACTAGGTGGGCTTGAACTGCCAACCTTTTGTTGAGCAGCCAGGCACTTACCCGTTTCACAACTGGGAGTGGATAAACTATCCTCCCTTAATGGACACTGGGGCTTCCTCAGGAGGTACTTGCATCTTGGGGATACAAACCCGCTGCAGGATAAATGAGGACTAGCCCTGGGCAGCCAGACCGCATGGCTGGTGGGCAGCATAAGGAGCATCTTGCCTCTCCGTGGCCCTTGGCTGCCTCCTCCTCGGAAATGACATAAGCCACCTCCATTGCCCAGAAGAGCCCAGGCCAACAGATGTGCCTTTGAGGCAAGCAAGCCAGAGCAACGGGGGGGAAAACAAAGGGCATATGGATTGGAAAACACAAAACTGTTCCTAATACTTAACGCAGGTGACATATAGTCTAAACACCAAACCACACAGAATCTACTATCAAATGCTTAGAACTCATGATTGAGCTCACCAAGGTCACAGGATACGAGTACATACAAAAACCAATTGTATTTAAAAAAAATAATTTAAAATCAATTGTATTTCTATACATTAGCCACGAACATGTGGAAACCAAAATTAAAAAGACAATCTCATTTCTACGTATTCAAAAAAGAAATATTTGGGCTTGAGCCTAACAGAACATGCACAAGACTTGAATGCTAAAAGATTACAAAATGACAAAAACAGAAACTATAGAAATGTGGATGAAAACCATCACAGTCTAAATAGAGGAAACGACATACTATGTTCATGGATAGAAAGACTCAACATAGTAATGGTATCAGTCCTCTTCAAATTGACCAACATAGGTTTGACACAATTCCTACTAAAATCCTGGCAAAAGATTATAGATGTAGGCAGGCCTACTCTAAAATTCACATGGCAAGACAAAGGAATTAAAAGAACTTTGATCCTCCCCCCAACTACCAGGACCCCAATTCTGCCTTGCAGACCTGGCTAGACCAGATGATGCACAGCGGTACAGATGGGAATTGGAAGCGCAGGGAATCTAGGACGGATGAACTCCTCAGGACCAGGGGTGACAGTGGCGATACCAGGAGGGAAGGGGGGGTAGAAAGGGGGAATTGATCACA